GGCGCCTGCCTTTGGCCCAGGGCGCGATCCTGGAGACCCGGGATCGAATCCCATATCGGGCTCCCGGTGCATGGAGCCTGCTTCTCTCTCTCTCTCTCTCTGTGACTATCATAAATAAATTTAAATAAAATAAAATAAAATATCCACTACTTTGCTAAACAATCTATAGGTTCACTGCAATCCCTATCAAAATACCAATAGTATTTTTTACAGAACTAGAACAAAATAATCCTAAAATTCATATGGAACCATAAAAGACTGAATGAATAGTCAAAGTAATCCTCAGAAAGTAGAACAAAAGTGGAGGTATCACAACCCCAGATTTCCAGGTATACTACAAATCTATAGTAATCAAAACCATGTCATACTGGCACATATCACAGAGGCTGACAAATGGAATGGGATAGAGAGCCCAGAAACAAACCCACACCTCTGGTCAATTGACCTATAACAAAGAAAGCAAGACTATACAATGGGGAAAAGAAAGTCTCTTCAGCAAATGGTGTTGGGAAAACTGGACAGCTACATTCAAAAGAATGAAAATGGACCACTTTCTTAAACTATATACAAAAAATAAACAAAGACCTAACTTTGAGACCAAAAACCATAAAACTCCTAAAAGAAAGCACAGGCAATATTCTCAGACATCACCCTTAGCAACATATATATGGATATGTCTCCTCAGGCAAGGGAAACAAAAGCAAAAATAAATTACTGGGACTACATCAAAATAAAAAGCTTTAGTGAAGCCAAAGAAACTATCAGGAAAACAAAATGGCAACCTAATGAATGGGAGTAGATACTTGTAAATTATGTATAAGGGGTTAATATCCAAAATATATAGAGAACTTACACAACACCAAAAAAAAATCCAGTTAAGAAATAGGCAGAGGAACTGTATAGACATTTTTCCAAAGAAGACATACAGATGGCCAACGGACACATGAAAAGATGCTCAACATCACTAATCACCAAGGAAATGCAAATCAAAATCACGGGATAACACAGCAGTCAGAAAGGCTTCTATCAAGACAAGAAATAACAAGTATAAGCAAAGATGTGGATAAAGGGAATTCTTGTGTAGTATTAGTAGAAATGTAAATTCATGCAGCCGCTGTGGAAAACAGTATGGAGTTTCCTCAAAAAATTAAAAATAGGAATACTATATGATCCAGTAATTCCACTACTGGATATTTACCCAAAGAAAACAAAAACACATTTAAAAAGATAACGTGCACCCATATACTACAGCATTATTTACAATAGCCAAGATAAGGAAGCAACCCAAGTGTCCACTAATAAATGAGTGGATCAAGAAGTTATGAATGATGTGTGTGTATACATATATACACATACAGTGGAATATTAGCCATAAAAAAGTATTAGGTCTTGCCATTTCTAACAACATGGATAGACCCAGAGGGTATTGATTACACCAAGTGAAAGAAGTCCGACAGACAAGTATCATATGATTTCACTTGCATATGGCATCTAAAAAAACAGACTCTTAAATACAGAGAGCAAACTGGTGGTTGGCAGAGAGGGAGGGAGATGGGTGGGAAGCTGGGCAAAATAGAGGATTAAAAGGCACAAACTTCAGTTATAAATACGTCATGGAAATGAAAAGTACAGGATTGGGAAATAGCCAATAATATTCTAATAACATTGTACAGGAATAGGTGGTGACTACACTTAACGTGGTGAGCGCTGAGCATTGATGTGTGAATCAGTATGTTGTACATGCAAGACTAATGTTAATTATACTTCAATAAAATGTAGGATGTGAAACTGTATGTATAGTATGGTCTTAAGTTCATGGAGTAACGATGAAGAAGAAATGTAGATGGAGGGATCCCTGGGTGGCTCAGCGGTTTAGCGCCTGCCTTTGACCCAGGGCATGATCCTGGAGTCCTAGGATCAAGTCCCATATCGGGTTCCCTGCATGGAGCCTGCTTCTATCTTTGCCTGTGTCTCTGCCTCTCTCTCTGTGTCTCTCATGAATAAATGAATAAAATCTTTAAAAAAAAATGTAGATGGAAAGAATGATGAGAAGAAATATGGAAGAAAACTGCTGAGAACAGATTATTGGAAGGAAACGCACCAAAATGCTAATATAGTTTGGATGTTGAAATAATCATGGGTGATTTAAAAAAAAAAAAGATTTTATTTATTTGAGAGAGAAGAGATCATGAGTGGGGTAGAGGGGCAAAAGGAATGGAAGAAGCAGACACTCTGCTCAGCAGGCAGTCGAGCAGGCAGTCCAATGCAGGCCTTCTATTCCAAGACCCTGGGATCAGGATCTGAGCTGAAGGCAGATGCTTAACCAACTGAGCCACCCAGGTGCCCCAATAATGCGTGATTTTTATATTATCTCATAATCAGTAAATATTTAAAACTAAAAATCATGAAAATATATCTAATAAAGCAAAAATTGAGATTTACAAGGAAAAGTTACGTTTTTTTTTTTTTTTTAATTTAATAGAAAGCATGAGAGGAGAGTCAGTGGGAGAAGCAGACTCCCCGGTGAGCAGGGAGCCCAGTGCAGGGCTCAATCCTGAGATTCCACAGAGCCGAAGATAGGCCCCTAACTGAGCCACCCAGATGCCTTGGAAAAGTTAAGTTTTATACACATCTCAGAGATTCACAGATCAAGTCCAAAAAACAAAAAGTAAACCTGTTACAGGTTGAAACAATGATTTTTAAAAATTTAACAAGGACACCTGGGTGGTTAAGCCAGTTAAGGGTCCAAATTTGATTCTGGCTGAGGTCATGATCTCAGGGTTGTAAGATCAAGCCCCACACTGGGCACAGAGCCTGCTTAAGATTCTCACTCTCCCTCCCTGTCCCTCTCTAAAAATAAATTTAAAAAAAAAAAAAGCTTAACCAAGTATATATAGTGAATATAAAATTTCCCCCCCAAAAAAAATGCTTTTCAAACACAAAAACTGATTTTGTGCCAGATGACAGAGACTCTGCAAATTCCTTCCTACCCCTTCTCTGACCAAAAATTAAAATGGAAATTTAAAAATACTTGGAATGGTGATGCAGCAGACCCAGAGAGCTGCAGATAAAGTAACTCTTTGAGAGAAACAGACACATTTAAATGTGTATGTCAGAAATCCAAAGAAGAGCCATGAATGACAGGTAATAGTCACTATATCAAGTACTGGCAGTGAACAAATTAAACTTGTAATACAGCTAGAAAAAGTGGAAAATACATCTAGACACTGTAGAATAAATGAAATAAAAGATTAAGAAGACTTAAAGAAATAGGGGCACCTGGGTAATTCAGTTGGTTAAGCGTCTTGACTTTTGATTTCATCTCAGGTCGATCTCAGGGTTGTGAAATCAAGCCCCATGTGGGGCTCCGCATTCAGTGCCAAATCTGCTTGAGATTCTCTCTGCCCCTCCCCTTGCTCATGTGCTCACTCACACTCTCTAAAAGAAAATAAAATATTTTTAAAATATTTAAAAAGGTAAAATCTGATTCCTTAAAAAAAATTTGGCAAGTATGATTTTTTTAGATGGCAAAAGTTACATCAGAAAGAGCTGTTATAGATACTGAGGGCTTTTCATTATGTAAGTACTACAATCTATGAAATCCCAAATTGGCCCAAGAAGTAAAGAATACAAATAAAACCAATAACCATAAAAGCTGAAATAATATTCAAATATTTTATGCCCCCAAAATGGACACTAAGCCCAGGCTGTTTTGTGGAAAGTTTTACCAAGTCTTCAAGAAATATAATTCCCATGCTAAGTATAGCAGTGCATAGTACATGATGGCAAGCCTCCCAACTGTTGTTGTTATAAAGTCAGCATGGGCTTGACCCCAACTCCACTAGGCCAACACTGAAATAAAACTGTGGTCAGCATCACTTATAAATATAAGTCAAATATAGCCATTCACCCTCAAAATACTTCAATACTTCAGTATTGGAAAAAAAACTATCAACATAATTCACTACTTGAGATTATCTGTAGTAAAGGAGGAAAGCCAGCTGTGTAATGTCAATATGTGCCCCAAAGCCATCAGTAAGATGTAGTACCTGTTTATGACGTAAATCTAAGTGCAGTTAGAACTTTTTTAACATGATATAGTTTCATAATTCTATTTAGTAATGAAATATGAGAGGCATTCCTATCAAGGTCAGAAACAAATAAGAGGGTGCTTGCTATTCTCCACAAACTTTTATCAGCACTGAAGGTTCTTATAATACAGTAAGGTAGAAAAGAGCCACTGAGATTTATAGATGAATTGATAAATATGCATATCTATATGATGACATATGTACATAGCAGGTAAACAGAATGATAGAGCCCAAAAATATTGTTAAAGAAAAAAAATTGCAACATATGTTCGATAAATACCTTTGTGTCATTATGTAAATTTATAGCAACAAAATATTTCTCTATGCATTCCAATATGTACAAAAGATGAGAAAGATGCCCTTTAAACTTCCAGCAGAGGTTCTCTCTTAAGATTGGGTAGCATGGACAGCCTGGGTGGCTCAGCGGTTTAGCGCCACCTTCTGCCCAGGGTGTGACCCTGGAGACCTGGGATCAAGTCCCATATCAGGCTCCCTGCATGGAGCCTGCTTCTCCCTCTGCCTGTGTCTCTGCCTCTCTCTCTATCATGAATAAATAAAATCTTTAAAAAAAAAAAAAAAGATTGGGTAGCATGATGAAAGAGATCTTTGACAGTTTCATTAATGAGCTATTAATTTGCCAAAAAAAGTTATATACATTCATAAGATGTCTATACTAAGAGCTGTATAGCTATAAAGAGGATTGTGGGAATTTCATTTAATAATTATTAATAATGATAGCTGCTGATAGCTGGAGAAAAATGCAGACCTCAGCGTGGAGGTAGAAAGTTCTCTGCTGTGCAGAGAGGGAGGGGCTCAGATGACAGCCACAGAGCCCCAGGCCTTCCTTGTGTCCACTGGTGGCTTGTACCCTATTGGGCCGTTCACCCTAATGGTCTCATCTTTTGGCAGGAGCAGATCAGGCCTCGATAACAGCCAGGAATCATATTCAGTTGGTGAAGTCGCAGGTGCAGGAAGTGCGCCAGCTTTCCCAGAAAGCAGAAACCAAGTTGGCAGAAGCACAGACAGAGGAGCTCCGTCAGAAGACCCAGGAGGAAGGGGACGAGAGGGCTGAGGCGGAGCAGGAGGCCTACCTGCGTGAGGACTGAGCGCTGGAGCCGTTGCCCACATCTGCTGGGTCAGCCTGAGGAGAGCAGGGGTGGCCACCATCCGGCCCAAGGGCAGCAGGGCCTTCTCTGCACCAGAGGCGGTGGCACATCCTGCCCTGGCCCATGAGGGCCTTAGTGAGCTGTGAGTGCCTGGCCTCTCACCCCTGTGGACCTGGCTCTTTGCCCTGGGGCACTGCACCCTGTTTAACATTTGACCCCACTCAGCAAGCTCTCCGCTCAGCCATCTTTTTACCTCCCACCCAGAGCATCTCGGCATCCTAGCCAGAGAGAAGGGTCCTTGTTTGTCACACCCACAAGTTCGGTAGCTGTTTAACTTCCGTTTCCAATCTTACTCATATTTTCAAATATGATTTAGTCTTTGCTCCCTCCATAGGAATGTGTGTTTTTTGGGAAAGGGGAGCTTGTTTATAAGATTTCTTTTTAAGTGTTTTTAATGCCTTCTGTGATCTGGCCTCATTGCCTGTGAGGACAGCTGAAGCCCAGGAGCCAGAAGTCCATTATTGTTAAAGAACTGAATGCAGAGTGTTTACCTGGTGCTCAACAGGACCTATTCCAACCACACTTCTTTCCTTCTTTCCTTCAAGTTTCTCTATTGTATATGAAGGAGAATAATTTTTTTTTGTTTTACACTTCAAAAAGAAAATGTTTGTGTGTATATTCTGGGGCCCTATGCAGCCTAGCCTCTTCACCTCCCAGACTGGCAGCACCCCAAGGGGCTCCAGGAAACACACACACAGACCTCCCCTTGCTAGAGATGCTGCCAAATTTGGCTCCCATTCAACACATGCTGGTACAAGTTAAGCCAGGTTTCAGGGTTTTTAATAAGTGTTAGCAAGGTTCCCGGTGGGGGTCACAAAAAAGAAGTCAGCATTCCCTGACACATCAGGGTCAAGTGTCAAGGTTCTCAATTTGTCATCATGATAGGAAAATCAACACTGGGTCTACTCAACCCACCCCTCGGAGTTGAGGCAAGGGGGCTGCCGCACACCTGAGCCCCTCATCTGTTACAAGGGCCCACATGGTCCACATTTCCATGGGGCTGAGGCGGTGCACCAGTAGGAGCCCTCGGTACAGGCAGGGGTCTAGGGGATCCAGGGGCTGCCGTATTCCAAATGTCTTAAAGCCAGCATGGTGCATGGGGCTCACCCCCAGCTTCCTCAGGCACATGCCCACAAAGACATCGTCGATGGGGAAGAGTTCGGCCTCTTCCACCGCTGCTTGGAGGCGCTGCACGGTGGCCCTGGACATGACGTAGCCCCCGCCCCCGGCATAGGGCGGGTAGTGGCGGGCCCTGTACATGGATGGGGGGATGAAGTACTTAACCTTGGTGTTCCTGTTGGGCAGGGCCTGGCGGATAACATCTCCCACCAGGAGGTCCTGGGCTGGGTCCCAGCCATCCAGGAACTCCAGCACGTTAGGGACGTGGACAAAGACGTCGTCATCTCCCTTTAGCATGAAGCGGGCCTGGGAGCAGGCCACTGCAACCCAGCGCTGCAAGTGCAGCTCCTTAAGCGTCAGGTTGAAGAAGTCTTCAGCAAAGTCCCACTGCAGGATATCGTCAAACTCCTGACTCTCGTAGGCCAGCAGCTGGGCAGGGGGCGCTGGTCCCGCCACCCCCAGAAGGAACACCAGTTTCAGCCGCCGGCCCCTGGCCCAGCCCCCCACCCGGCCCCACGTGCTGCGGATAGCCGCCCTCCGCTCCACGTGGCCGGGCTGTGACTTGATGGCCAGGAGCAGGAAGGTGTCCTCAGCACAGCCCGAAGGCTCCAGCAAGATGGAGAAGTTGCGGCAGTGGCGGTAGGTCAAGAAGAGGCGGTGACGGCTAGGCAAGGACAAGGAGATGTTAGCCACTGTACGGTTGGGGGGACACTGGCTGCGGCGGGGCCCTGGGGGAGCCCAGAAGGGCTGGTGGGCCCCCGAGCCCCCCACTGGCTTGGCCTCCTTCTTCAGGAAGAGCAGGCAGCTGAGCAGCAGCACAGCCAGGCCGTACAGGACCAGCCAGCCCAGCCTGCGGACCATGGCAGGGCCTGCAGGGAGAGAGCGCTGTGAGCCGCCGCCCTGCGCCCGCCACCCAGCAGCCCCTGTCCTGCCGGCCTACCTCTGCCTTTTGCGTCGCAGAGCCCCTCTCCCAGGGTGTGTGGGGGGAGGGAGGGGGGCAGCATTCCTCTCTGCTGGCATCATGGGGGTCTCCACTCTCCCCCCAAAAGGACTTGCAGCTGCTTTAAAACTGGGGAGCCTCAGGGGGCTATCAGGAGAGCATGTGACTCTTGATCTCAGGGTGGGGAGTTTGAGCTCCACACTGGGTGTCAAGATGACTTAAACTGAAAAGATTAAAAACACAGAACACCTGAAGCAGCGTGTGCACTTTGGGCATTTCCCAGGAAACTCGAGTATCAGGATGAACGTGGCACAGAGCCGGTTCATTTCCAAGGAAATTCGTTCTAGGCACAAACCCTGACCTCTGGGGCCCTTGAGTCTAAAGTCAAACCATTTCCCCTGAAAAGCCGGCAGTGTGATCTGCTGGCGGCCAGCCCCGGCTGGGTCTCAGGGACAGCTGCCCTGGGCTCTGCCCTTAGTTTGCGCCCCCAGGGAAGGAACCACGCAACAACACATCCTTCACATCTGCCTGAAGTCCCCCCCCCCCCCCCCCCCCGCTTCTTGGAAGAAGTCCCTTCTTTCCCACAGGTTGCTTGGCGGGAGTTGCTTAAAATGGGGTTTCAAAAACAACCCACTTGCACAAAAAGCACAAAAGCTCTTCACGCATGTACCGGGGCCACCTCCCCTGCAGCCACTGTCCCCCCACTCCGTCCCCCTCACTCAGCTCTGGTTTCCTGAGTCCACGGAGAAGGCCCTGAAATGCGGTTCGAGGAACCTGCCCAAGATCAAGCATAGCACAGGCACGCAGTCCGGCCAAACCTTACTGCTGCCCCCTCCGCCCACATTGGCCCCAGCCCTGCCGCTGGGGCGCAGAGGCAGGCAGGGCAGGCCGCCAGGGGTGGGAGACACCAAATGAACCAGCACGGACTTCAGACCGTGCTGAGAAACCGAAGCGGGAGGGAATACAGTGACCCGGAGGTTGTTTCAGCCCGTGGCAGGTGGTCTACAAAGGCCTCCCTGATTAAGGACGTTGGAGCAAGAACAGAAGGTCGGGACCAGACCACAAAGATGGGGAGCAGAGTGTGCCAGGCGGAGCCCAGCGCAGCTCCTGGAGCAGGTGCAGGCGCGATGTCGGGGCAGGAGCGCGGCGTGGCCCGAGTATGAAGGCGAAGGCCTCCAAGGCGGCCAGTGCAGGGCGGTGAAGCGGAGCCCTGGCCCGCGAAGGGGAGGGCGGGGGCAGCTCGGGCGTACTGTAACCCCCGCAGAGATCCACGGGGGGGGGGGATTCAGCAGAGGCAGTGACGGGAGTGCATTGCTTGAAAGGTGCCTCGCGGCTGCAGCTTAGATGACGGGTTGTGGGAAAGGCGAGAGGGGAAACGGCACCAGCTAGGAAGCTGTTGCCTCAGTGAAGACCCACGACGCAGCAGCGACGGGCACGGCGGCCGTGCAGCGCGGAGCCCCGGGGGCGGCGGTTGCGTCTGCAGACGGGCGCGCTGGGCGGGCGCTCTGGTTCCGGCGGGTCCCACGGCCCAACCCGCACCCGCGCCCCTTGCCGCAGCCCCCGTGGCCACTACGGAGCCAGGCTCCCCAAAGGCTGGCGCACGCTCCGCGTCCCGGGCCGCTCCTCGGCCCCCCACCCCCACCCACCTGCCCAGCGTAGGTCTCCCTTCCTCCTGCGCGCCCCCAGGACCCTGACTCTTAACCCGCGTGGGCTTCAGTGAATGCACCACACGCCCCACAAGCGTGCCGAGTCCTAAGGGTCTGCAGTGGTCTCGGGAACAGCCGCCTCGGGTCCTTGGGCTCGGTGACACCACACGCTACGACGAGGGAGCAGGCCAGTTCCTTCTTTCAACCCGACACTGCTGCTGTGCGGGCCGAGAGCGGGCGGGGTCGCCGGAGCAGGGGCCCCGCGGCGGACACCCCTCCCGGTCCACGAGGCCCGGTTCCAGCCTTTCGGGCCCCGGTGGGCGAACAGAAGCCGGGGCGCGGCAGGAGGCCGCCTGGCTCCCGACCGCCCCCCGGGGAGCCGACCCCGCCGCCAGACCCAGCGTCCTCGCCGCGGCGCGGCGTGCGGAGGCACTGGCAGCCCCGGGCCCTCCGGCACCGTGAGACACGGCTGCCCCCGGTCCCGCTCTGCCGTCTCCCCGCGGACCTACCTGAGCCGGGACACCGCGCCAGGGACTGGCGAGAACTCGCTCCGGCAGGCGAGCGAGCGGGGACCCGGAGCGCTGGCCTCGCACCGCTGGCCTCGCACCGCGGGCTCCGGGGCGGCGATGGGCGGGGCCGCGGGCGGGGCGGGGCGGGGCCGCGGGCGGGGCGGGGCGGGGCCGCGGGCGGGGCGGGGCGGGGCCGCGGGCGCCCTCCCACATCCGGCTTCCGGCACCGGCCGTGCACCTGCCCGCCCCGCGGCTCCCGGCCCGCCCCCCGCCGTGGCGGCAACTCGGACGCCGAGCAGCGGGCATCAGAACAGCCTTTAATCGCGCGCCCTACAGGGAGAAGTCCCGGAGCGCCGCCTCGGCCGAGCGGCACTGGTTCAGCTGGATCTGCACCTCCACGGTCAGCGGCTGCGGCTGGTAGTCGCTTTCGTAAATCGCAAACGCAGATTTTTTCTTTTCTGAGGAATAAAAACACGAGTATGTGAGTCCCGACAGGTGTGCGGGCTGCTTCGCTGCCGCCCTGGACCGGCTCGTTACGTCGTTACGCGAGCGTCCCCGAAACGCCGAGCTGTGCTCCGGCCCAAGGGCAGCGCCGCTTGGGAGCGCGGGACTCCAGCCCCGGCCGCGACCGCGCGAGGACCCGGCGGAGTCGCGGCGAAGCGCGTCGTTTCACCGGGCGCAGCTGTTGCGGTTGCGCGTCGAAGCAGCTGCTGGTGTCTTGGAGCGAGGTTTTCTTTTTTGGGTCTCTGGGATAATTTTGATTACAACCCACCCCCCAGCCCATTCCTAAAATCAAATAATTCCAAAGAAAATATGAAACAGGTTGAGCGACGTTCTCAAAGAATATTGACAAACCACGGTTATTCGGAGGTGAATACTGGGCAGATATTTTCTTAGAAAGCGAATGAAGTCTGGCATTGCAGGGAAAACGGGAAGCATTTTGATGAATCTGTGACATTTGAGCTTGCAAGTAGAAACTACAATTTTGGAACGTGGTATCCGCCACCATAAAGAGTTTCCCGATACTCAAAGACTCTTCCAAGGACATGGGCGCTGATAAACAATGTGATTTTTGGGTGATGTATATGTGTCGACAGTCGGGAAGATCTGCATCACTCAGTGAGCCAGTATTTTACAAATAACCAATGCCTGATGTCACAAATTGTGCATGAGTAAGATAGCCCTTCAAAATGCAGTGTAAAAAATAAAAATAAAAAAAGCAATGTAGACCAATGGATTTTAACATGACTATGAAAAATGCATTCATATAGTTTTCACTCTGTAACCGCTCTTAAAAAACTACTAGTTGTCAAATTTGACATGATACCAAAGAAAAATATCCAGTTATTTGAAAGTCTTTTAAAATATTCCCTTTTCCAGTTACATGATCATATGAGATTGGATTTTCATCATCCACTTCAACAACTGCAACACAAGAGATTAACTGCAGAACCAGCTATTTCAGTGCAACCGTCAGTTAAGCCAGACAATAAAAAGATGTGCAAAAATGTAAAAAAGAAATGTAAGACCATCTTAACTCTGGGACTTGATCATAAATCGTATGCACATATTTGTATGGGTCCTAAAGTCCAGCAGTATACTTTCTTTGTTCTTTTTCAAAGTTGTTTGGCTATCCTTGATCATTTGAATTTCCAGATTTTTAGAATCAACCTGCTGATTTCTTTAAAAAATAATAACCCCCCCATAATTATGATTGAGATTAGGTTGAATTGTAGATCAATTTGACCAAAACCAACGTCTAATCAATACTGAATCTCCCTATCCATGTACATATTTATCCCACCATTTAAGTCTTTGATTTGGCAACGTTTTATAGTTTTCAGTATACAAGACTTCCACATCCTTTGTCAGATTTATCCTATTTCATATTTTTTTCAATACCATTGTAAATGGTACTATTTTAAAATTTCAGTATCTGGTTTTTCATTGCCAGTATATGGAAATACAATTAATTTCTTGAATACTGACCCTGTATCCTACAACCCTGTTAAACTCAGTTTTAGAAGTTTTCTTTAAAAAATAAAAAGGTTTTAAGAGAGAGGGAGTGAGCATGGGAGGAGGGGGGAGAAAGGGAGAGGGAAAAGCAGATTTGCCATGGGCCTCAATCCCAGGCCCCTGGGATCATGATTGGAGCTGAAGGCAGATGCTTAACTGACTGAGCCACCCTGGTGACCCAGAAGCTTCTTTTTTTTTTTTTAAAGATTTTATTTATTCATGATACACAGAGAGGCAGAGACACAGGCAGAGGAAGAAGCAGGCTCCATGCAGGGAGTCCATGTGGGACTCAATCCTGGATCCCAGGATCAGGCACTGAGCTTCTAATATAGGCATTTAATGCTATAATTTAATGCTATAAATTACTCTCTAAATACTGTTTTACTAATTTTGACATTTTATATTTTCATTTTCATTCAGTTCAAAATACTTTTGTAATTTCTCTTTTGAGTTCTTCTTGATCCATGGGTTATTTAGATGTGTTTTATTTCATTCCTAAAATTGGGAGATTTTACAAATATCTTTGCTACTGTTTCTTATTTAATTACACTTGGTCATAGAGGATAGGATACTTTGTATGTCTTGAATTGTTTTAAACATTGAGACTTTATTTATGGTCCACATTATGGAATATCTTGATTCTGTGTGGATGTAGAGAATGTGTATTCTCATGTTATTGGGTGGGGTACTCGATAGATGTCAGGTACCTCAAGTCTCCTACATCCTTACTGATTTTCTACTTGTTCTGTCATTTATGGAGGTGTATTGAAATCTCTGAACATAATTTTGGATTTGTCTATTTCTCCTTGTAGTTCTATCAGGTTTTCTTTTTTCATGTATTTTGAAGCTCAGTTATTAGGTGCATACATGCTTAGGATTGTTACATCCTCCTGACTCCTTTATTATTATGAAATGAGTCTATTCCTGGTAATAGTCTTTCTCTGAAGTCTATTTTGTCTGATATTAGTAGTTGCTCCTTTTTTTTTTATTAGAGTAAGCATGAATTTCTTTCTCCATTTTTTTTAAAGATTTTATTTATTCATTAATGAGAGACACGGAGAAAGAGAGCCAGAGACACAGGCAGAGGGAGAAGCAGGCTCCATGCAGGGAGCCCGACGTGGGACTCGATCCCAGGTCCCCAGGATCATGCCCTGAGCCAAAGGCAGACGCTCAACTGCTGAGCCACCCAGGCGTCCCTCTTTCTCCATTTTTTAACATTTTTGTATCTTTATTTCTAAAGTGGATTTCTGGTAAGCAGCATATGGTTGGATCTTACTTTTTTTTTTTAATCCAATCCAAACATCTCTGTGTTTTAATTGGGTTTTTCAGACCATTTACATTTAATGTGATTATTGATATGACTGGGCTTAAGTCTACCATCTTAAGTTTTCTATTTATCTCATGTGTTCTTTGTTTCTTTTTGTTTCCACCTCCTTTTAGATTAACTGAATATCTTTAGGATCCCTCTTTTCTCTCCTTTGTTGGCTTGTTAGCTAGCTAGCTAGCACCCTTTGTTGTATCATTTTAGTGGTTATACTTTAGAGTTTATAATAAATATCATTACCTTAGCTTATCACAGCCTGGCTTCAAGTGATATTGTACTACTTCACATAGAAATAGGAACCTTGCAGTGATATACTTCTATTTCTTTCCTTACTCTCACTCCTGCCCTTCTTGCTATTGTTATACATTCAACTGGTTTTATAAGCACTGCAATATATTTTTTCATTAAATAATTAACAATCATTTAAACATATTAACATGACAAGAAATGAGTCTTTATATTTAACCCAGTTACCATTTCCAGTGCTCTTGATTTCTCTGTTCAGATCCAGATCCATCTAGTATTTTCTTCTGCTTAAAGGACTTCTTTTAGCATTTCTTATAACACAAGTATGCTGGTGATACATTCTTTCAGCATTTGTATGTTTAGACAACTGTTCGGTTTACTTTTGTTTTTGGAAGATGTTTTTGTTAGGTAAAGAATTTTAAGTTGAGAGGTACCTGGCTGGCTCAGTCAGTTGGGCATATTCCTTCAGCTCAGGTCATGATGTCAGGGTCTTGGGATTGAGCCTTCTGACCGGCTCCCTGCTCAGTAGGGAGCCTGCTTCTCCTCTCTCCTTCTACCCCTCCACCCCCTTGTGCTCTCTCTCTCAAACAAACAAAAAAATCTTTAAAAAAAAAAAAAGATTTAAAAGAAGAATTTTAAGTTGATAGTTATTTTTCCTTAAATGTTTAAGAATTCTTCTGTCATTTGGCATTTTCAGCCGATGATAAAACTGCTGTCATCTTTATCTTTGTTCCTGTCTTTATAACTGATTTTGAGCAGTTTTATTATTTTTAAAGATTTTATTTATTCATGAGAGATGCAGAGAAAGAGAGGCAGAAATACAAGCAAAGAAAGAAGCAAGCTCCCCGCTAGGAGTCCCATGCAGGACTCGGGATCCCGGACCCTAGGATCATGCCCTGAGCCAAAGGTAGACACTCAACCGCTGAACCACCCAGGCATCCCTAAGCAGTTTTATTATTATCTAGCTTGGTTTAGTTTTCTCCATGCTTTTTGTGTTTTGAGTTCACCAAACTTTTTGGATTGATGTATTTATAATTTCCGTCTAACTTGGAAATGTTTCAGCAATTACTTCTTCAAATATCCTTTTTGCCTTCCCCACTCTCCTTTGGAGATGCCAACTATATGGACATTGGCTCCTCTGACTTTGTCTCAAAATTCACTGATGTTCTGTTCATTTTTTCCCAGTCATTTTTCTGCGTGTAATTGTGGATAGTTTTTACTGTTTCCAGTTTACTAATCTTTTCTTCTGAATTATCTAATATGCCATTAATCCCAGTGAATGTGTTTTTAATATGACATGGTAGTTTTCATCCCTAAAAGTTTGGTTTACTGTCCATATTGCTACATACCACAATCTTTCGTTTAGCCTCTTAGATATATGGAATATAATTATAATAAGTTTTAATGTCCTTGTCTACTAACATGTATGTCATTTTTGAGTCAATTATGATTGATAAATTCTCATTATATATTAAGTTTTTTTGCTTTTTTTCCATATATGGTAATTTTTTATTGGATGGCAGATGTGAATTTTACCTTGGGTGCTATTTTTTTTAAAGATTTTATTAATTTGAGGGAGAGAGCATGCAAGTACGGGGAAGGGCAGAGGGAAAGGGAGACAGAAAACCTTAAGCAGACTTCATGCTGAGCACAGAGCCCAACATGGGACTTGATCACACAACTCTGAGATCCTGACCTGAGCTGAAATCAAGAGTTTGATGCTTAAAGACTGAGCCACCCCCAGGTGCCCCACTTTGGGTGCTATTTTTGCATTCCTTTCCATATCTTTGGATTTTGCTTTAGGATATGGTTAAATTTCATCCTCGGCTTGTCCCTTCCTGCTCAAAATCTGAAGTGTTCCCCAGGGTGCTGTGCTCACTCCTTTTCTCTGTCAACATAAGCGCGTATATTTTCATGGTTTTAAATACCATTAAGCTGGGCAGCCCGGGTGGCTCAGCAGTATAGCGCCGCCTTCGGCCCAGGGTGTGACCCTGGAGTCCCGGGATCGAGTCCCATGTCGGGCTCCCTGCATGGAGCCTGCTTCTCCCTCTGCCTCTGCGCCTCTCTCTCTCTCTGTGTCTCTCATGAATAAATAAATAAAATCTTTATAAATAAATAAATAAATACCATTAAGCTGATTCATTCATTCAATGTTGATGGCCTACTATGAGTCTACTATGCTGGGGACGGGATTGTAGGACTTTAAAGAATGCAGGTGGGATCCCTGGGTGGCACAGTGGTTTGGCGCCTGCCTTTGGCTCAGGGCGCGATCCTGGAGACCCAGGATCGAATCCCACATCCGGCTCCCGGTGCATGGAGCCTGCTTCTCCCTCTGCCTGTGTCTCTGCCTCTCTCTCTCTCTCTGTGACTATCATAAAAAAAAAATTAAAAAAAAAAAGAATGCAGGTGCAGCCCCCCACCCTTAAAGTTTCAATGTAGTAGATGAGATAAGAATAAAACAATTATCTAGATTCGCATCTCTATAGTTTGCATGGTGCTGAGTACTATAGATGAAAACACCAGGTGCTATGAAGGAAACAAGGAAGGCAACCCATCCGGTGGATCAGCTTCCTGAAAGAAGGCAATTGAAGCTAAAATTTGACAGATGAAGTAGCTGAGCAAACAGTGGCAAGTGTAGATTAAGTATTCCAAGCAGAGCTCTGCAAGGCTTATAGAACATGGAAATGTGGATTTTGTGATGCAGCCAGCAGGAAGTCATGGAAGAATTTCCAATAGAGGAGTGACTCGGCCGGACCTGCCAACAAGATCACCCTGGCTACTGCAGCGGAATGGACAGAGTGGCTGGTGGGAGGAAGGAGGTGCAGCAAGGTGGCCATTGTGGTTGTCTGGGGTGGTGGCAAAGGAGATGGAGAAGGCACTGGGTGACAAGGGGCAGGTGAGGGCAAGGCTTCTTGGATGCTCCACACACTTCACCTTCACAGGTGCAAAATCAAACTCACCGCAGGGGCAGCTCTGCAGGCCCTGAGCAGAAGCCTCTCCTGCCCACTGCCCTCCTGGCCCCCCAGTAACTCTCAGACCTGTGTCCCCCGCACTGTCTCTGCTGTCCATTTCAGGTCAGGCCCTCAGCATTTCTTGCCTTTTACATTGTTTTTTTTTTTTTTTTCAAAAAAAATTTTTTTTTTTTTATGATAGTCACACAGAGAGAGAGAGAGGCAGAGACACAGGCAGAGGGAGAAGCAGGCTCCATGCACCGGGAGCCTGATGTGGGATTCGATCCCGGGTCTCCAGGATCGCGCCCTGGGCCAAAGGCAAGCGCCAAACTGCTGCGCCACCCAGGATCCCACATTGTTTTTTTTTTTTTAAGGTGAATTTCTTTTCATCAAGATAAAATTCTCATAATATTCAACATTTTAACTACTTTTAAGTGTACACTTCTGTGGGTTTTAGAATATTCATAATGTTGTTCAACCATTATCATTATCTAACTCCAGAATGTTTTGTCCCCCACCTGGAAACCCTGTACCCATTAGCAGTCACCTCCCTCCCCCAGCTCTCAGCCCCCACTGATCTACTTTGTGTCCCTATGGATTCACTCGTCCCGGGACATTTCACATAAATGGAATCATACACTATATGGCCTTTTGCGACTGGCTGCCTTCCCTGCCATCCCTCTGAGCTCTACCCATGCAGTGCCTTGTTCCTTTTCTCTGCTGAGGAATCTCCATTGTATGGAAATACCACGTCCTGTCTGGGCATTCGTCCACTGATGGGCATTGGGCTGAATCCACCTTTTGGCTGTCAGGAATAGTGCTGCCCTGACTTTACCGTATACTTTGCAGCAGCCTCCCAGCCGCTCTCCCCATCTCGTATTGCTCCTTGCAAGCCTGCCAGTTCTTTCTAAACTCAGATCTAAAGGTTACCTATTTCAGAGGCTTCATTGACCACCCTTTGTTCATAGAACAAGCCCACACTCCTTGGGCAAATAGGGCCAAGGACCTGAAACAAGCCAGGCAACTGCCGAGCCGGAAGGACCCTGGCCTGGTCCCAACTCAGCCCCCTATCCCACATCACCTGGCTCCCACCCCAGACCACCTCACCTGTCCTTAGCAAAACCTATAGCACGCTGTGCTTGTCTCAGGGATGCAGGAAAGATGTAGGGTTTGGTCCTTAGGGTGGGCATGGCCTTCCCACTGCCCAGAAGGTATGATTCTCCATCCTCCCATTTCTTTGGTCCCCAACCAGGCTAATCCTTCCCAAGGTCCTGCTATGGTCTGAAATCCTAACCCCCCAGAAGTGACGGTATTAGGAGATGGGGGCTTGGGAGGTCATGAGGTCATGAGGGCAGAGCCTCATGAATGGGCCTAGTATCCTTATAAAAAGAAGCTCTGGAGAGACCCCTTACCCCCCTCCACCATAGGATGTAGCAAAGGGGGCTGGTTACCAACCAGGACCCTCACCTAACGATGCTGGCACCTTGGTCTTGGACTTCCCAGCCTCCAGAACTGCAAGAAATAAATGTCTGTTGTTTACCAGCCTGCCAGGCTCTGGCATTGCTACGGCAGCCTGAACAGACTAAGGCTCCCACTGAACATTCCCTGCTCTCGGTCACCATCATCACTTCTTACCATTTTTAGCTTTCTTGTTCTTCTTCAAATCCTGAGAGAAAGAACCACAACATGAGAGGCTCCCTGGAGTCAGGGCGTGCTTGGGAAGGGGCGGTGCAGATGCCTGTGCAGTCCTGTGGGGCTCCCCGCCCAGGGAGGCAAGGCCGGCCTTCCAGAGAGGAACGGGCCTGACCTGCCCCCTTGCCTGGCTCCTCACGCCCGAGAAGGCTGCCCAAGGAGCCGGCAACCCAGAAAGCTGGGAGCTGGGCAGTGCTGCCCGTGCCTCCCGGGGCCTGCCAGAGGAGTCTGGCAGTCTGGCAGTCTGCCCCTGGAGCCCCTCCTTGCCCAGCACTGCTTTGGTGGAGACAGGAGGGACAGGGGCCCCGCTGTACCCTAAGAAACATCAGCCTGTCGATTTCCGGGGTGCGGATCACCCCAAAGTTGCACACGGAGGACACAAGCGGCTCCCCCGCCAGCAGGGGCTCCAAGGCCAGCAGGCCGCTGCCCAGCACGCGCAGGATGGGGGGGTCCTGGCGGAGCTCCTTTGGAAGCTCCTTCTTCTTGGACGCCTTCTGTTCCTGCAGAGGGGAGAGGCTGGAGAGCAGACGGGGCCCCCCACAGACCAGGCCCAGAGCACCCACAGCCACCGCCGCCCAGCCGGTACCTTTGCCGTCCCTTTCTCCCCTTTCCCTGCCTTGTCGCTCCCGTCTTTTTCCTTGTCTTTGTCCTTCTTCCCTTTCTTGTCCTTCTCCCCTTTTCCTTTCTTGGCAGGCGACACAATGTCGACAGGAGGCGGCACCAGAGGCCAGGAGAGGATCTAGGGGACAGCGAGGTGGCCGCGGTGAATACAGGCCAGGCCAGGCCAGGGCTAGCTAGGGCCTGCCAACACGGGAGCAGAGCCACGCGGCACCCGGACAGAAGAGCGGAGGCTGGGGGAAGGGGCCCATGTGTGGAGTGTGGGGATCTGCGCCACCCACCTTCTCCTCCACAATGGTCACGGTGGTTCCCGCCAGCAGGAAGGCCTTGAGGGGCACCAGATCTCTGAGGCTGTGCTGCATCTCATAGTTGCAGGGAATGACATCTGTCCAGGGCTTGCGGGTGGTGCTGAAGAGGACTGTCCTTGGGGAGGGCAGAGGCAGACAGGGCACCATCACCCAGGAGGCTGTGGCCAGGGACGAGGACAAGGCTTTTGAGAAGATATGCACAGCGTGCCATGAGGCCAGACCCAGGATTACTGCCCGATGCCATTTATATAAAGGTCTAAGAGAGGCACGGTGACTAATGGTGTCACCTGAGTTGATGATGACCCTTGGGAAAGAGGGAGGGGCCTGGGGAGTCTTCAGAGGTTCTGTTATATTGTTTCTTTTGTAAATTATTTTTTTTACTGGGGCAGCCTGGGTAGCTCAGCAGTTTAGCGCCACCTTCAGCCCAGGGCGTGTTCCTGGAGTCCCGGGATCGGGTCCCACGTGGGGCTCCCTGCATGGAGCCTGCTTCTCCCTCTGCCTGTGTCTCTGCCTCTCTCTCTCTCTCTCATGAGTAAACAAATATTTTTAAAAATAATAAAAATCAAAAATCAAAACATAATAGAACAGGTTGGTGTGTCCACAGCCACATGGAGAATCAGCAAATTTCAAACTGATACCCAGAATATGGGTTCATTTTTCTAAAAACAAATTATGAGTATATAGCTTTGTACACATGACTGGGAAGTATATGCACAAAACTATTAAGAGGAATTCATCCTGGGGCACCTGGCTGGCTCAGTCGGTAAAGCGCCTGCCTACCGCTCAGGTCATGGTACTGGGGTCCTGGGATCGAGTCCCACATTAGGCTCCCTGCTCAGCAAGGTGTCTGCTTCTCCCTCTGCCCTTACCCCCTCGCTCGTGATCTCTGTCTCTCAAATATATAAAATATTTAATAAATAATAAAAGAGTACTTCATTCCATGGCATGAATTAGATGGATACATGAGAAGAGGCTTTTATTTTCTAATTTACACGTTTTTTAAAAAGCAGAATCATTTGTAGTTCTTACGTTTTTGTGAATATCTTCAAAAATCCAACCACCACAACCACCGCAAGATCATCAGCGTGGCTGGCTGAGGAGCCCGGCTGGGGCTGGAGGTTGCCTCCCCTCCTCTGACAGTGGGGGCAGCTGCCCGCGAGTCCAGGGAGTGCGACACAAGGGGCCGCTGTGGCTCCCCCCACAGTCTCCACAAGCCTGTATCATTTACCTTCTGTGCAGGTTTGAGGTAATTTTTTAAAAAATAACTCTTTTAGCTAGGGGAGAAGCTGGCTTTCCCAATTCCCTGAGGGCAGCGGTGGCGGGGTGTGCGTGGGGCAGAGGCTCAGTTAATTAGAGGTCACCAAGCTCTGTTTTCTGCGGCTGCAGCGCCAGCAGCACCACCGACGCCCCCATCCGAGCCCAACGACAGAACCAGCTGAGAGCAGGAATTTCGTAAACAAACAGAACAAAAAGCAAACCAAGTTCCATGCCTAGCAATTAGTCACAGACTCAGTTAACGGAACTTCAAATACTAAATGAGAAGTGACTCTAAGTTCTTGTAAAACTCTTCACCATCGAAAAAGATTCCTTAACGAAGAACCAAAGCACGTGATACGTGGGAGGCCGGGCCGCGGCTGGAGGCCTTGGGGGTGAGGGAGCCACAGCCCGCCAGGGGCCGCAGGAGGCCCCAAACCCACCGACACCTCCAGGCGGCCGGTGCCTCCGCACTCTCAGGCCTCAGGCCCCCCGCCGGCTCCGGGAGAGGACACAGCCCCCCCCCCCCCCCCCCCCCCCCGCCCCGGGCCTGCTGCTCCCGCCCGCCCGCCCCGCGTCCTTACCCCGGGGAGGGGCAGAGCCGGGGATCGACGCGCGGCCGCAGCTGGGCCAGCTCCGCCAGCTCCTCCGCCGAGTCCGTCACCCAGGGCGGGGCCGCCGACGCGCCCGAGGCCGGCGAGTCCTCCCGCTCCCCCGACGGCGGGGCCGGCCCGGACTCTGCCGAGTCTTCGCGCCCCTCGGAGAGCTCATCGCGGACGTCCTGGCCCAGCTGCTCGCCGCGGGGCGAGGGCTTGACGGTCTGCGGGAGAGACACGGACCCGCGGGGGCCGCCGCTCGGGTTCTCCGCGCAGCGCAGCGCAAGGGCAAGTGCGGGAGCAGGTGCCTGCGCCCCCTGGGCTGGAAGCGAGAACTCAGGCACTCGCGCGCCTTGGGAAGGAGGCTTCCGGCCTGTTTGTCGTTGTTGTTTTTTTAAATGCCCGTCTTGCCCCTCCTGAGAGGTCTACGTTAGGAGGAACGATTTCTGCAGGAGCTAGGGTGTCCCCCATTTCTCCTGGCTGGACGATGCCCTTGGCTTTGCTCTTGGTGAGAAGAGTGATGGAAGAGCAGGGGAGAAGCATGGGGAGAGTTAGGGGGAGAGTTAGTTAGGGGGAGAGTTGGGGGGGAGAGTTAGGGGGGGAGAGTTAGTTAGGGGGAGAGTTAGTTAGGGGGAGAGTTAGTTAGGGGGAGAGTTAGGGGGGGAGAGTTAGGGGGAGAGTTAGTTAGGGGGAGAGTTAGGGGGAGAGTTAGGGGGAGAGTTAGTTAGGGGTAGAGTTAGTGGGAGAGTTAGGGGGAGAGTTAGGGGGAGAGTTAGGGGAGACAGGGGGAGAGGTAGGGGAGAGGTACGGGGAGTGGTAGGGGAGAAGCCTGCTTGTACATGCTGCTCCCTGGTGAGGCCATTTGCTGGGATTTCAAGGGCAAAGGAAGGAGGCGAACGGCAGTGAGCTGCAAGAAAGGGTCTGACCAGAGCCGCTTCCCCCTCAGAGGCGGGTGTGAACCAGAAAGCTCCAATTAAGGGGGTTTTCTGCGCTCCAAGAAGCGGTTCTGCTGCACAGGAGACCCCGTGCCCTGAGCTCCGCGCCGCCCAGCCCCCTCGCTCCCGGGACAGCCCGAGGGGACCCACCTCCGCCAGCACACCACCGTATTTACTTCCTTCTCCTTCTTCATCTTCCACGAAACCGTAGGTCACATAGTAGCTGTAACTGATAAAAGGGCCTTGGGGCTCCGGGTCAGGGTCCAAGATAGAGGTGTCGGGAACCCCCTTGACATTTCCAATGGTCACCACGAGCTGCGCCTCACATGCCAAAAGGTCTGCAAGGGGGATGGGCGGAAGTGAGGGGTAGGCAGGGGAGGGCATGCCCAGCAGGGTCCCTGCATTCTCTCCTCCACCGGGGCCCAGCCTCAGAGTGTGCAGACTTGGGCTCAAATCTCAGTTCTGCCAAGTTCAAACACAGTGATGTGCAGCACGTCCCTTTTTGGTAAGATGGTAAGACACCCCTCTTGTTTTCCTGATCTGTGTAATGGGAATGACAGTAGTTGCTTTGCAGGATGGTTACGGATGAAGAATACCTGTTACCTTAGCACAGCCAGGCACACAGTCCCGGGAGCTGTTTGTTACCAATGTTGTATCACCCTTACCCTGAGAAGGATCTGATGCAGCTTGTGGCATGGGCCACAAGGGGGTGATCTCAAGCCACCACGGAAGTAAAGAAATTGGTTTCAAGAATGTTTCCTGTTTGCCTAGGATGGTCTCACCCTCCTTACCACTTCTGTCCCCCAATCCCAAGTACAGAGATCAAAAATCTGGGAGAGGACTCTGATCAAGAAGGTGAGCTACACTTGACTAAGGTGTGGGTCCACTGGGGAGCTGCAGGGACAGGCCACCCTGTATGATGGTGGACAGGCAAGCTGAGGCTCAGGGCATCAAATACCAGCCCCTCCCCACTTTGCACATCGGCTTCCTCACCCCCATGGTGGCTGAGCCCCCTGAACAGATACTTCTCATTGGGAGACACGGTGATGTCATCTAGCACGCAGAGCCGGGACAGGCTGTCGATGGTGAAACCTCGGTAGTAGGGCACCAGGCCCAATGGGTTCCCCTGCAGCACGAGCAGCCTCAGATGTTGGAGGGTGCTGAGGCTGGCGATCATGCCCTGCAGGTCCGTCAGGTCATTGAAGCTCAGGTCCAGAGAGACAAGGTTGGGCCTAGAAGGGGAGCAGGAGAGTCCAGAGGCAGGGTGAGCACAGGGGTGGGGACTGGCAGCTGTGTCATGCGCCAGGCCTGCCCTGCTCACCATCCTCCAGCACCCCATGTCCAGGACAGACAGCAGGCCTGTGCTGAGGGTGGGAGGGGAGCCCCAGCCCACCCTTGTCTCACAAATTAGCCCCCTTGTTGGGAAGCACCTCTCAGTCCTATTGCCCCCTCCCCCCATGACACTGCCATCATCACTGTGACACAGAGATGGCCCTGGTCACATCCTGCCTCCCCTGACTTCCATTTACATAGATCTCTCCTTCTCAGTTAAACTCCTGGTACCTCCCATAGATCTGATACAGCACTGTGCCTCCAGAAGGTTCTCAACAAAGACAGACACAGGCAAGGAAGGCAGAGGGAAGCCACATGGGGAGGAGCAGTGGAGGGAGGTAAGAGAGGCACGTACCCTGAGAATAGGGTACGTGAAGCTAGAGGACACCTTCCAAAGCCTGACTGGCTCATGGTCGTAAGAAGCCACGTGATTCATTTCTTGGGGGAACATGAGTGAAAAGGAACGTGCCAGTGAGGACAAAGGAGGCACCCTCCTTTCCAGTCTGGTGAAAACTGGCCAGGAAGGGGGGGCACAGGTGTGTTCCCCAACTGCACAAACTAGAAAGCAAACAGGTTCCAGATCTGAGAACAGCAGCAAGAAAAATGTGAGGGGCATGGCATGGTCACATGGATACCCTATGGCCTGCAGCAGACGGGACTCAGGCGCGTCCCGCTCCCTTCTGCCCTGCTTTTCTGGCATGTGTAGCCAGTTGAGGGGGAAATGCCCAAAAGGACATTTCGTGGGGACCAGCACACAGACCTTGTCCAATGACAGCCTTCAAGAAGACTGGGAAGACCCGAGGAAAATCCATCCATGAAAAGGGGACCCTGGTTTTAATCTCAGTGAAAGACAGAGGTTTCCCTTACGTGTTTTTATGAAACTCACACTTGGCACGAAGCAGGTAACCTAGGTTTAGAGAAAGTCTGTTTTCCAAATAAAAAATCAGAACACATGGTGCACAGTCCATGGTATGAGTCTGAAATCAGCCATCACAGGAAGTCCAAAATGTACGCTTCCCTCCTGGGCTACGTTCTCTGGCAGCTAAAGTCAGTGGAAGAAACTGGAATTGTGCATGGCCAAGGCTATGGCAAGGGTGGAAGGAGGAGGAGGAGGAGGAAGGAAATTATGATCAGAGATGGGGACCCTCCAAGAGTGTATACAGCTGGGCCACCTGAGATCGTTTTCCAGATAACCTAGAAAAGCAAGGAAGGGGTGCTGACCGATGCCTTCTGCCCACTCCAGGCTGTGGAGAAGGGAACCATAGTGAAGCCCACGCAGTGCCGCCCAAGATGCTGAAACCCTGGGAATCCTCGAGGCATATTCTGGAAGCCTTCCTCTGACAGCCTTTCGCAGGTGGCCTCTGATTCCCCCATACTCCTCAGACCCCAGGTTTTGTTTCCCTCCACTCACTCCCAAAGGAGACAAGCCAAACCAAGAGTAGTCTGTAGAGCAGCGACTTTCAGCTTGGGGTGATTTTGCACCCCACCTAGTGGGCACAGTCTACAAACGTTTGGTGGTTACAACTGGTGTGGGGGTGCAACTGGCATCTAGTGGGTGAAGGCCAGAGGTGCTGCTCTGCTTCCTACGGAGCATGAGACAGCCCCACCCCAGTTGCCCATTCCAGTGTCGGCAATATCCAAGCTGAGAAATCCTGCTCTCAAAGCATCAGAGGGAAAGGTCTGACTCACTCCTGCTACCTCTTGTATCTTTCCTTGGGCTTCAGTGGGAATTTTTGCTTATTCGGTCAGAGAAATAAATCCTAGGTCTGGAGCTGGCAGCCAACCAACAATTATTATAGAAAAAAGCAAAGCAAAAAAGAAAAGAAGGAAGGAAGGAAGGAAGGAAGGAAGGAAGGAAGGAAGGAAGGAAGGAGCAAGCTAAGGTGAGTCCTTCAAGGCACCAGGGTGGAATCACCCAAACCTAAGACTTAAGTGTCTCTCTCTCCATCCGGGGCTCTCCAGTTACCAGTGATCTGCAGTGACATACAGACTTTCTAAGGGGCCCAGAAGCTTGTTGTGACCCAAGCCCAAGTGCTGGAGACGTGGGGGCGGGTGGGCACACAGACACTCCATGCTGGTGATCTTGTTGCCATAGAGCTCCAGCACCTGAGAGAAGCAGAAAGATTGGTGCCTGTGAGCTGGAGTCTGTCCGTCCATCTGTCCTTCCCCTCCCTCCCTAAGAAACAACAGGATGGAACTGTGTAGTACTCATGCCATGCCGCCCTGTGCCCATCTGGACTCCCTTTAAAAAACGGGGTGGAGGGGATATTTCTGCAGGAGGTGTTGGAAAGTTTCTTTTCCTTGGTGAAGGAGATGTGAAAATTTGGCATAGGAGGTGATGGCGGAGCGGATGGGTGCATGCATAGCATTTTGCCGCCGCTCAACCCACGGCGGCACATCTTTGGGAAAGCCAAAGGGTCCCCGCTGGCCTTTGGAGCCAGTAAGGCATCAGCTGGAGCGTCACGAAGCATTCTTGGCTTTCTGCTCCAAGGCCTCTCCTGGTTTCTTCCTAGGCCCAGCATGTAGCCATATTTCTGAGTCCCTTCTGCCACTATATCTACTAATTTCCACACTTAATTTGAAATTGAGATCATTTTGATATGCTCAGCTGAAAACACATCATAAAGCCTGGGCTAGCTTTATTTAAAGTGATTTTTTTCCCATTGTGGCAAAATATATATGATTCATCATTTTCCCTATTTCTATGTGTACCATTCAGAAGCATTAAGTAGAGTCCGATTGTTGTGCAGCCATCATCACTCCTATTTCTGAAGATGTTTACCACCCCAGATGGATGTTCTGGACCGTCACAATGGTCCCCCCATTGGGTACCGCAATGACTCCCCATTGCCCTCACTCTGACCCCAGTAACCTCTGCTCTACTGTGATCCCTGTGGATTTGCCTCTTCTAGGTATTTTGTGGAAGTGGAATCATCTAATATGTGACCTTTTGTGTCTGACCTCTCTCATTCAACATAATGTTTTCAAGTTTTATCCATGCTTTAGCATGAATCATTCCCTTTTATGACTGAGTAACATCTCACTGTGTGGAGAGACCACATTTTGTTTACCCACCCATCTGCTGATGGACCTTTCAGTTGGCCCCACCTTTTGGCTGTGGTGGGTAATGCTGCCATGACCACCACCGGCCTGCAAGAATCCCAGTCCTTGCCTTCAATTCTTTGGGGCATATACTGAGAGATGGAATTGTTGGGTCACGTGGAAATTGTACTTTTTAAGGAATCTGGCCTCCCTCTCCAAAGCCTGGGGCTGGCCCTTGGCACCCAGCCACACTGGCCAAACCTTCCATTGGCAGGGTCTCTGGGCTGCACCAGCCCGCAGACACTAAATGGAGCCTGGGGGATCCCTGGGTGGCGCAGCAGTTTAGCGCCTGCCTTTGGCCCAGGGCGCGATCCTGGAGACCCAGGATCGAATCCCACGTCGGGCTCCCGGTGCATGGAGCCTGCTTCTCCCTCTGCCTGTGTCTCTGCCTCTCTCTCTCTCTCTGTGTGACTATCATAAAAATAAATAAATAAATAAATAAATAAATAAATAAATAAATAAATAAATAAATAAATAAATGGAGCCTGGGACTCTTTACCTTGAGAGTTGGGGGCAGGTTGATGGCATCAACCTCCTTGATTTGATTGGCACTCAGTACCAACTCTTCGAGTTTTAGAAATTTCAGGAGACCTTTATCCACCAGGTTCACCTAGAAGGAAAGGTCAAGAAGCTAAGAGCTCTCATGGGCGAGGCAGCTGTGGAGCAGAAATAGGGTCTACAGGAGGGCAGCAACAGTTGGCCACTGACCCTCCCGAGGGGGTTACTTGGTGCATGCCAACCTCCTTTCTCTCCCTAACCACCCTCCTCACAGACTTTCCTGCACATCCCACCAGGATCCCAGAGCCTCGACCACAGGGTGGTCTCTCACCTCTGAGTCCTCACCCCACCCCCTGGAGAGGTTGTACAACTTCCAGCCCAGTGTCCTGTGTCCCCTGTTGGACTGTGAGCCCCAAAGACCAGGGATCCCATATTGTTTGCTGTCTACCCCTGGGCCACAGTGAATCCTGAGGCTGTAAGGTATTGCTAGTTGACACACAGCAGGGTCAGCCCTAAAGTTCAGAGGTCTTCCTGCAAATCTTCAGTACTCTGTGGCCTCAAAGTCATTAGGGCCCTACCCAGTGACTATGCCACTTTGCCCAGGATTGAGGGGTTCTGAGGACACAAAACTTTCATAGTTGACGGTGGGAAAGTCCCAGGCAAATTGGTAGGAGTGGCCTGCTCCTCATGCCTGGTACTGTGGGAATTCAGTTTCTCCGGGAAAGGAGAAGCAAAAGCAAGAAGGCTGAGTTTGCAGCATGGGACTCTGTTATTGGTAGAAGTGAAGAAGGCTTTTTCGTAACAGAAACTAATAGGGTACTATGCCTAACCCTCCCTAAACCTGGGCCCCCACAGTGTAAATTAAGTAAAACCAATATGGATACCTTAGAGGTCTCTCCTAGGACCCAGGAGGGCCAATTGCAGGGTGCACCAGAAGCCAGCTATACAAGACACACCTGGGTTCCCCCAGGGACGAGGAAAGAAGACACCCAACAAATGAGCAGCTGGCCCTGCTTGGTGGAGCGGCTGGTGAAATTAGGGGGACAGAGCTACCGTCCCATCTTTCCTCCCATTTAACACCGAGGCCCCACCACTAAGGACTGTACAGTTTTATAGGGGAATGGCCTCCTTAACCTCAACCCCCGGCTCTTACCTGCTTGTCCACCACCTGTAGGGACCTGAAGTAGGAGTAGAAGAAGGTGTCTTTGAGCACCAGGGGATTCTGGATGGCCAGTTCTTTCAGAAAACGGTCCTCTGCACTGGAGCCCTCCAGCAGAGCCCAGGGTGAGTGGGGGCTACGGACCAGGTCCAACAGGGCCTCCACCGACTCCTCCCCAGGGCTCACGACCTCCTCTTCTCTGGGGATCAGCTCCCTCCATGCTCGGGGAGTTCGAGGAAGAAAGCGTGACTTATTCTGCAGTGGTGGAGGTGGAGAATGTGCTACTCGTGACTCAGCCCTCTCAAGGATTCAAGACTCCCCAGATAGAGCAGATTGTAAGATAGGACAATCAGGGATAAAGAGTTTAGAGACCTAGACAGTGAGTAATCAGTTTTGACTGATTATTAGCCATGGATAGAACTACAGACTGAGAACTACATTTCTGCCTTTAGGGGTTTACTCTATCTGGGACCCTGGAAACACCAGGCGAGAGCATCCAAATATTTAAGATTTATGCACTGGAAGCTAGGAGGCAAGCAAAAGGCAATCTGGGAGGTGTATTAACCAAGGAAAGGCTTTTGAGGAAAAAATGGCAAGGCTGAAAAGGTTGAATTCAGAATTTAGATGTCACAGGGGATGATGAGTCCCAGAGTGGACTTTCTCCCAGCCTTTTCTCCAGGAGACACTTGAGAGACATCCATGAAACCCCAAGAGCTCCCAGTGGATGCCAGGTACACATAGTAGGTTGTGCAACAATGTTTCTTGATGAAACACATGAATTAGTTCCTTGATTGGTGTCCTGGTTTTCTCCTCTATGAAAATGAGAACACTGACCTCCCCTTAGCGCCTACAGTGTGTGGGGCGCCAGCTCTCCAGCAAGTGGGAGGGCAACATTCTAGACCCTCAGGATACTCCTGTGCACATCTGAGGGACAGCAGGTTCTCGGTGTCATGCTCCTCAGCCCCAGAAGGAGCACCCAGCTGGTGGGAGTGGGGCGTGGACACACACCTGCTCTAGCCCTCCTGAGCCACAGTGGCTCCCCAGGAGGAAGCCTTAGAAGGGAAGTGTTTCTGGCCTCAGAAACAAGGGGACTGGAAGGGAGGGAGGAAGCCACTTCTCCCAGGCCCACTAGCCTCTGCAGGCACCAGAACCATGGCCTCGGCCCGGGGGCTCTCGCTATGTGTCCTGCGGCACCTGAAGGTGGACAGGCTCTTTGCCCAGGCAAAAGCTTTTCACCCCAAAAGGTGCCTGGTGTCTTTAACAGACCGAGAAGCCCTACCCCAGGTCAGCCTGATGTGCTGGGGATGGGGTCAGGCCCACAGTCCTCGCAGGGGCAGGGCCGCGGCCCGCACCCCAGGTCAGGCGGCCTCCTAAACGCCCAGACCCAACCCTCCCCCAGGCTTCTCCAGCTCAGCCACGTCCTGCGGCCCCCCCGCCCCTGCCCCCGCCCCGGGCCAGCCCGGCCGTGCCCCACAGCCCCGAGTCCGCCCCCGCCGCCCCCGCCGCCCCCGCCGGCGCCCAGAGCGCACCCAGCTGCCGGTGCCGCACGGGAACTCGCGCAGACACAGCTGCCTCAGGTGCTCCCGGACCGCTGCGCTCAAGGCCCTGCCCGGCTCCTCCATCGGGGCGCGGCCGCGGCCCTACAGCCGCCTGCCAACCGCCGGGCACGCGCGCGCCGGGGCTGGCTCGCAGGCGTTCCCGAAACCCACCTCCGCCGGCGTCTGCGCGCTTCTCCGCTGAGCCGGAATCCCGAGACTGGCGAGACTGGCGCAGGCGGGGACGCCCTGGGGTTTCTCCTCTGGCCCAGCCTGTGCTCGCAGCTGTAAAATGGGATAATCGTAGCTTCCCACCACAACCCCCGGCTCTAACTGCTGTAGCTCCTAGCAGACGCCGAGCGCTTCCCATAGAAGAAAAAGGCTAATTATCATCCCCATTTGACAGATCTAGAAAGGAAAGATGAGCCCAAGGTCAAACAATCTCAAGATTCTAACCGGTGGATTCCAGTGGGTCTCTTCAACCCCTGAGTCACACACGGGTTGTAATCCCTGTTTGCATATATTGACCATTTTAGCACCAAGATCTCATTTTAGACTGGAGGCAATCTCATTCATCTCTCCATTCTCAGAGCACCTAGCATCTAGCCTACTGCTGGCCAAAAAGGAAGGGCTCCTGGGCACAGGTTTGAGAAATAAATAGGATAAGATGATTCTGGATTCTATAATTTGGAAATGCAACATCTTTATTGAGATACAATTTACAAACCCCAAAATTCACCTGTTTGAAATGTGCAATTTTGTGATTTTTAGTATATTCACAATGCAACTATATTCATAGTGCAACCATCAGCGTTATCTGATTTTTAACTTTGTCCTCACCCCCAAAAGGAAACCCCATACCCACAAGGCAGTCAATCCTCATTCCCCCCTTGGCCTATCCCCTAGCAAACCGCTAATATGCTTTCTGTCTCTATGGATTTGCTTCTTCTGGATATTTCATATTAAATGGAATCACAAAATATTTGTCTTTTTCTGTCTGGCTTTTTTTCACTTGGCATAATGTTTTCAAGTTTCATCTATGATATAACACATGTCGGTACACTTCATTCCTTTCTGTGGCTGGCTAATATTGCATTGCACGGAGAGACCACATTTTGTTCATCCATTCACCTGCGAAGGACATTTGGGCTGTTTTCACTTTTTGGCTCTTATGAATAATGCTGCCTTAAACATTCCTGTACCTACTTTTGTGTCAACATATGTTTTTCTTTCTCTTGGATAGTTATCTAGGAATGAAAATTCTGAGTCATATGGTCACTTTATGTTTAACACTGTGAGGAACTGCGAATTGTTTTACACAGAATCCGCACCATGTTACATTCCCATCAGTAATATTTTGTTTTGTGTGTATATATATAAAGATTTTGTTTATTTATTCATGAGAGACACAGAGAGAGAGAGAGAGGCAGAGACACAGGCAGAGGGAGAAGCAGGCTCCATGCAGGGAGCCTGATGTGGGACTTGATCCCAGATCTGCAGGATCACGCCCTGGACTGAAGGCGGCGCTTAAACCGCTGAGTCACCAGGGCTGCCCTGTTTTGTATATTTTGTATTGGAGTTTGATTTGCCAACATATAGTATAACACCCAGTGCTCATCCCATCCAGTGCCCCCTCAGTGCCCGTCACCCAGTCACCCCAACCCCCTTCCTGCCTCCCCTTCCCTTACCCCTTGTGCATTTCCCAGAGTTAGGAGTCTCTTATGTCCTGTCACCCTCTCTGATTTTTCCCACTCATTTTCTCCTTTCCCCTTTAATCCCTTTTGCTATTTTTTATATTCCTCAAATGAATGAGACCATATAATGTTTGTCTTTCTCTGATTGACTCACTTGACTCAGCATAATACCCTCTAGTTCTATCCACATTGAAGCAAATGGTATTTGTCATTTCTAACGGCTGAGTAATATTCCATTGCATACATATACCACATCTTATCCATTCATCTTTCGATGGACACTGAGGCTCCTTCCACAGTTTGGCTATCGTGGACATTGCTTCTATAAACATTGGGGTGCAGGTGTCTTGGTTTTTCACTGCATCTGTCTCTTTGGGGTATATCCCCAGTAGTGCAATTCCTGGGTCATAGGGTAGCTCTATTTTTTAACTCTTTGAGGAACTTCCATACAGTTTTCCAGAGTGGCTGTACCAGTTCACAGTCCCACCAACAGTGCAAGAAGGTTCCCCTATCTCCACATCCTCTCCAACATTTGTGCTGGGAAAATTGAACAGTCACGTGCAGAAGAATGAAACTAGACCACTCTCTTGCACCATACACAAAGATAAACTCAAAATGGATGAAAGATCTAAGTGTGAGACAAGATTCCATCAAAATCCTAGAGGAGAACACAGGCAACACCCTTTTTGAACTTGGCCACAGCAACTGCTTGCAAGATATAGCTATGAAGGCAAGGGAAACAAAAGCAAACATGAACTATTGGGACTTAATCAAGATGAAAAGCTTCTGCACAGCAAAAGAAACAGTCAACAAAACTAAAAGACAACCTACAGAATGGGAGGAGATATTTGCAAATGACATACCAGGTAAGGAGCTAGTATCCAAGATCTATAAAGAACTTATTAAACTCAACACCAAAGAAACAAACAATCCAATCATGAAATGGGCAAAAGACATGAACAGAAATTTCACCAAAGAAGACATACACATGACCAACAAGCACATGGGAAAATGGGAAAATGCTCTGCATCACTTGCCATTAGGGAAATACAAATCAAAACCACAAAGAGATACCACCTCACATCAGTGAGAATGGTGAAAATTCCCATCAGTAACATATGAAGATTCCAACTTTTTTTTTTAAAGATTTTAAATTTATTTATTCATGAGAGATGCAGAGAGGGAAGCAGAGACACAGGCAGAGGGAGAAGCAGGCTCCATGCACTGGGAGCCAGACGTGGGATTCGATCCCGGGTCTCCAGGATCGCGCCCTGGGCCAAAGGCAGGTGCCAAACCGCTGCGCCACCCAGGGATCCCAGATTCCAACTTTTTATATCTTCACTAACACCTATTATTTTACTGTTTTTTATATCATAGCCATCTTTAGTTGGTGTGATGTGTCTCATTGTGATTTTTATTTGCGTTTCTCCAATGCCTGACTCATAATGATATTGAACATCTTTTCATGTGCTTTTTGGCCATTTATATATTTTTGGAGAAATGTCAATTTGAATACTTTGGTCTTTTTTTTTTTTTACTTTGGTCATTTAAAAAATTTTTTTGGTCTTTTAATTGTTGAGTTGTAAAAGTATATATATATATATATATATATATATATATATATATTCTGGATATTAGCCCCCTGTTTTACATATAATTTTAAAGTATTTTCTCTTGTGGTTGTCTTTCCAATTTCTTGATAGTATCCTTTTACCCACAAAAGTTTTTAATTTCAATGAAGTATAATTTATCTATTTTTTTTCTTATGTTGCTTGTGCTTTCGGTGTCATTTTATTTTTTTATTTTTATTTTTTTAAATATTTATTTATTTATTTATGATAGAGAGAGAGAGAGAGAGAGAGAGAGGCAGAGACACAGGAGGAGGGAGAAGCAGGCTCCATGCCGGGAGCCCGATGTGGGACTCGATCCCGGGACTCGATCCCGGGACTCCAGGATCGCGCCCCGGGCCAAAGGCAGGCGCCAAACCGCTGAGCCACCCAGGGATCCCCTTTTGGTGTCATTTTAAAGAAACTATTGCCTAATTCTAATAAAATGGCATTTGAGTGTTTTTTACATATTTTCTCAGATTTGTGATTTGCAAATATATTTCTTCCAGTCTACACTTATCTTTTCATCCTCTAAACAGTGTCTTTAGAAGACCAAACATTTTTTGAGGAAGTCCAATTTATTGATATGATCCTTCCAAAAACACCCATTGTGGTACTCACCTATTGTCCTTTTTGATTGTTCTATGTCAAAACACCTTTACTATTATCAGAAAAATTCTCCAAAACTGTAGACAAAAAAACTAAGACAAAAAAAAAAAAAGCCACATGTCCTTTTAAAGAACAGGAAAAACATCTATGAGTGATATAAACAAATTAAAGAGACAAATTAAGGATGACTCCTGGAATTTTGATGAAACAGCTGGGTGACTGAGATATAATGAGAGAAAAGAAGCCTAGAGAGGGGAAAGCAAGAGTCCTGTACAGAATGAGTTAAGCTCAAGTTGCCATGGCCATCTACTCCATATCAAGTCAACAGCTGGATAGGAGTCAAGAGCCCAGGAATGAGGTCAGCCCTGGGTGATCTTCAGAACCTAATGCGCAACAGAATAAACAGCTGGAAACCCCCTTCCACCCCTAAAGCCCTTCTAACCGCTGCTGTTTCTTTCCTCTTATTCAAGCTTCTTGGCAGAGTGGTCTATGTGCACTTTTACCCCACTTCCTAAACTGCCCGATATAGCTCCCTTCACCAACTACTTATTCAAACTCTCTGGCAAAGTTCCCAGTGACCTCACGTTATCAAACCAAGGGCCTCTCATCAACCTTTATCTTATTTGACCTCTCCATGGCTTATAATGGTACTAATCTCATCCTCCTTCTTGAAAACCACTTTTCATCTTGTTCCATGACATGTTTTTCTAGTACATTTCTCTCCCTTTCAAGAATGCCTTCTTAGCATTTTAGACTGTCATCTTCCTCTCCCTGTTCTGTGAATAGAAGAGTATCCCTGGCCTCCACACTTACCTCACATGTCTCTCATTGGTTATCTCTTGTAGACTTACAGTTTTCTCAACCACAATATGCAGATGGCGCCCAAAGATGGTACAATAGACAGACATAGCACCCATGTCTCTAGTTCTTTCCCTTGAGCTCCAAATCCAAATGTCCAATGGCTCACTGTACATCTTCACCTGAGAGTTCCATGACACTTCTAACTCACCATGTCAAAACTGAATTCATCATTCACCTGAACCCTGTGGTCCTCTCTGTTTGTTAGCACCCTCATCAGTCCAGTTACCCAAACCACAAACCCAGAAGCAGTCCTCAACTCCTCCCTCTCCACCATCCTCAAATCCAATCAACCACCATATCCTATGAATTTTCCCTC